GGCCATACTTTGTACTGATTCCAATTTTTTTTGTATTATGATTTTTTTTCGGTGTGCCAAAGAAGAGCCATATTTATTTTTAGTTTTGCTTATATGCGCACTCAGATTTTTGACCATTTAATAAATTTTGTTGTAAGTTACATTCGTTTAATAATCACCCGTCAACTTTTGTTTCCCTAAAGCGATCTAAAAAAAAATATTGCCATTTTTAAAAATATCCCAAGACTTTTCCTATGTGTGTATATACATATATAAAAAATAAAAAAACACACACACATACAACTATATGTATACATAAATATACATAAAAGTAAATTAATCTTCAAATATGGTGAAAGAAATGCAGTGGAAGCAATAATCATCATAACAGTGTATCCCTTTCTAAGAATTCTTCTATGCTATAATATCCCATCCCTTATTAGTTAATAGCTCCTTTATTTGTTTTTTGAATGGTATAATATGCAAATCTTCAATATCGTGAGGCAAGGTATTGCATAATGTTATGCGATTATATGCAAGTGATTCCTTGAATGTTGATGTTTTATGTTTTGAGATAGTTCATAAATGTCTATTTAGTGTTGCATAGTTATGAACTATTGATTCATCTCTCAGATTGGGTACGTTATTTTTCACGTGGAGTCTACAGCTATCCCTGGGCGCGATATTGAAGATAGTTCAAATTAATCTTTTCTGAACAATAAAAAAACGTTTTGCCTCCGCAGAAGAACCCTACATTAATATATTTTGAGCCATATGTGAGTAAGCCAATGAATAGTACAGTACTGACACCATCTAAACTAAGCACGTCTCTGATCTGTCATATTTCAAACATTACTTGATTCAATTTTTGCAGATGTGATCAATATGGGGCTCCCAAGACAAGGTTTTATCTATAAACATACCAAGGAGTTTGTCTGTTTCCGAGAGTTGGATGTTGTTGAGTTTCACTGTTTTCCTTAACGCAAAGGCTAAATGGACTGTTTTACTTTCATTCAGTTTTAGTTAATTTCTATCACACCAAGAAATCATGTCATCTATGACTGAATTAATGTTGTTTTCTAGCTCCTCCGCAGTATTTCCGGAAACTGTTATGATACTGTCATCTGCAAATAGGATAATGAAACCTTGTTTTATATACTTTGGAAGATCATTTATATGGATAGAGAAGAGCAGTGGGCCTAAAATGGGCCCTTGTGGTACCACAAGGATAATATCTTGAATATCAAATACTGCATTATTCACAGTGACTACCATTTTCCTATCTTCCATGAAAGATTTTATCCATTCCAGAAGGAATCCTCTAATTCCAATGTAATATAACTTACTAACCATTATGTCACTATTTACTGAATCAAACGCCTTAGCCAAGTTTAATAATATTGAAACCACGTACTTCCCCTTATCAATTTAATTGTAAATAAACTCGAATTTTCTAGCAATAACAGTCTCAACTGATCTAGCTTTTCTGAAACCATGTTGTCCACTGAACTTGGGTTTCCTTGTACGTAGACCTCTTCTTAGACTAATAAGAACCTTTAATCTTTAAATTTCGACGTTTTTTTCCAGTCCGACCCCCTCGCATAGTTCCGCGACCACCAACGAAGACCTGCCGACGGCGTGCGGCCGCCCTAGCGACGTTTCGAACTCCAACGTCGGTCCTCAGTCGTCGATGAGCGAGGCGGAAAAGGTCGCCGAAGCCGCCAGGGCGCAGGCGTACTTGGCGAGGATCAACGAGGCGAGACTCGAGCAGGCCAAGAAGCAGAATAAGAAGGAGCTGGAACAGTGCAAGCCGCTGCTGGAGGATCTCGAGTGCCACGACGACGCGTGGCCATTCCTGCTCCCCGTCAACACGAGGCAGTTCCCCACGTACAAGAAGATCATCAAGGAGCCCGTTGATTTGTCGACGATTAAGAACAGGTTGCTCCATCACGTGTGAGTTGATTGAACTTTTATTGAATTCAAGTCGGTTGCGGTTGAGGTGACAAATTAAGCATACAGAGTAGTCGCTATCAATTTCCGTGAAGATTTGAATGTAATCTCTTACATTCAAATCTTCATGTTCCCAACTGAGGTGTATTTCAAGGTTACCAATAGCCTTGACGTGTTAATTTCGAAAATGTTGGTCAAATATTCTTCTTTCCCGTTGTATGCTGTTTGTTACGAATCGTTCGTGACTATTCTATGTATTTCAGGTACACTACGAAGGAGAACTTTAGCGCCGACGTCCGCCAGATGTTCGACAATTGCGAGACGTTCAACGAAGACGACAGTCCCGTCGGCAAGGCCGGGCACAGCTTGCGCGAGTTTTTCGAGGCGCGCTGGAAAGAACTCTGGCCCCCTTCGCCAACCAGCTGAGGATCGTCCGCAGTCGCCGGGAACCCCTGAAACCGAAAAATTGTGCCGCCGAACGAAGACTTTCTGTAGAAAGCGCGTCGCGTACTCTTTTCACAAACGTTTTTTTTTTCAGTGTGTGATACAAAAGGACATTGAGACGTGCGCCGTAGGCTTTTGTCGATGGTGTCTGTCGAATGACCCGATGAGATCGGGGTTAGTTAACTTTTTTTCTATTTTGTTTTCGTTTTGTTTGAGCAAGTCGTCGCGTGAATTGAACGTTGTATTTTTGATAAATTTCACGTTATTGATATATTTTATTTATTTAGGATAGACGAGCCCTTTGCCCAGGCAACTTTTTATACTTTCTATTTATTTTGCGGATGTGATTTGCGGTCTCTTGTCATTCCATCTCGGTAGATCTGCCGTCATGAAAGTACGATTTTGATTACACTGCTGATTTTTCCATAATTATCGTGGCATTAAGACAGTTTTGATTATTTTACTACTTTTGGATATTTCTACAGAAGTCTGGAGAATCTGCAGTGTAATATGAAGTATTCGTGGCTCCCTCTCTAGGTAAATATACTCGACTTGACGGCATTTAAAATCACGCCCTAGCTGATCGTGTTTTTCTAGCGAATCTGTATAAATTGTAAAAATGACATTTTCATCGCTCAACTCTTAGGCTACGAGAGATATTACTGTTTCATTATCCATTTAAGATGAACAAAGTTCTGACAAACAAAATCTGTATCGAAATAACTGAATGTGTTTGGTAGGCTAGTTCTTTTGCAAATATTGTTGCAGTGCATAGAACTAGGTTATGTATTTGAGTGTAAGATATTTATAATTATATTTGCTTATAAATGTAAATTCGTTTTTTATTTCATCATGTCTGAATGCAACCAAAAATTGGTTTTCCTTGGTTTGGACGCCCTTAAACCTAACCTGGGTGTGGCTAAATCCGGCGACTTTAAAATAAGTTACTAGCTCGACAAGGAAGTGGCTAATACTTGGTAGCGTGAAAATTCGATTAGGACCTGAATGAAATACTTGGAAAAGATCAACAGCGGACCACATAAAAAAGGAGTGGCTAATGCTTGTTGATGAAAATAACATGAAAGGGACTATAGACCGGTGAAAAATGACTAAGTGGCTAATAGTCCGGTAACGTGTTAATGACTTGGAAGTGGCTATTGCATCGCTAACGTGAAAATAATTTCGTAGATGCTAGATCACAACAGGAAATAAATTAGGTGTACCAAAGATCAATTAGTGAAAGTTACTTAGGAGTGGCTAATAATTTGGCGACGGGAAAATAAAAGCGCCTAATAGGGAGTGGCTAATAACTCGGCGTCGGGAAAATAAGAGCGCCTAATAGGGAGTGGCTAATAACTTGGCGACGGGAAAATAAGAGCGCCTAATAGGGAGTGGCTAATAACTCGGCGACGAGAAAATAACATGGGAGTGCCTGATGCTCACGGGCGACGTAAAAATACCTCGGGAGTGGCTAATACTAATTGACGTGATTATAACTTGACTACAGCTGATGAGTCGTGATAATAAGTGACTTGAGAATGGCAATAAATTAGCAATATGACACAACTTGAAAGTGGATAATGCCCGGCGATGAAAATTAGTAACTTGGAGCTGGCTAATATACCGGCGAAGTAGAAATAATGAAATGGCTGATGACTCTTTAAATGGAGTAGTTGTTACGGCTTTGATCTGAGTAAGTACATTGAAATTGGCTAATGCCCGCTGACGTGAAAATAACGTGGGAGCAAGGCCGTAGCGAAAAGAAAAACCAGGGGGGGAGGGAATCAAAATTTTCCCAATCCTACCAGCAAAATTTCCCAACTTTCAAAAAAATGAAAGCCGAGGGATTAGTTACTACTATAATATATTAATTTTCTTACTTAGCTATCTAAAGATTGGCTGAATGATTATGCCCGTTAGGGTATGCACAAACAAAAATAAATTTTGGTGATTATAAAAATAATAATGGGAATTATTCTACTTTGGACCAAGGTTCTTGGTCTTACACCATATATAGGAATATTCAATACAAATGAAAGGAAACAACACTTAAATAATATTGTGCTTCTTGCTTCCTTTCTCTCATTTTAATTTTTATTCATTTTTTTACTATTTTTTTCCTATTTTCTTCACGTCCCAAAATTTCCCAACTTTTTCCCAAGTCGAAAAAGCAGGGGGGGAATGCTCCCCCCCATGGCGACGCCCCTGCGAGGGAGTGTTTGATGAATGACGAATTGAAAATAAGTTCCGAAGTGAAGTATGTAAGTAAGTATGTAGTAAGTGAAGTATGAGTGGTTAATATGTCAACAACGAGGAAATAAATAACGGGAGTGACTCCCACCACGACAACGTGAAAAATAAATGACTTGGGAGTGGCTGATATTCCTACGACGTGAAAATGGGAATTGAAAAGAACTAGTGAGTGGCTAACGACCAGCGACATGAAAATACATTTTATGTCTGGATGGCGAGTTCAAAATAACTTGGGAGTGGCCAATACCCCGGGACGTGAAAACTTGATTGAACGCCGACGTGAAAAAACAACTTGGGAATAGTGCGACCAAAAATTAAATAACTTGGGCTAATGTCCGGTGAAATGCACATAATTTGAAAATGATAATGCATGGCGACATGAAAATTACTATGGAGTTGATTCCCGACAATGTGAAAATAAATAACTGAGCAGTGGTTAATAACAGTGACGTAAAATTAGCTTGGGAGTATCTGCTTCTTTGACGACATGAAAATAACTTGAGTCAACAATGCTTAGCGACGTAAAAACTTAGGAGTGACTAATGCAACACTAAAATAAATAACTTGGGCTAATGCCCTGCGAAGTGAAGGTAATTTGGAAACGTCAATAGATGGCGGCGTAAGAATAATTAGGGAACAAATACCCCAGCGGCGAAAATTAACAACTTGAGATTGACTAATGAGTAACTTGGGGGTGGCTAATGCATAGCGACATGAAAAAAAGTAATTCAAGAATGACTAATGACTTTCGAGTGGCTAACGCCCAGATGCGTGAAACTAGAAAATGGGGGATTACCGGCAACGGGAAAATAAATACTTGGGGTAGCTAATGATTCGCGACGTGAAAATAACTTTGGAATGGCTATAAATCGATGTAAAATAACTTCGAAATGGCGAATGTGACATCTGAATATTTTCTCTCGACGTCTGTTGAAGGAAAATTTCTTGAGAGTGGCTCATGACCCTGATCAGCACAGATTCTAATATGCTAAACAAAAAAAATCTGTGATAAACTCTTTACTGCCAACAACTGTATATAATTTTTTTTATATAGGTAACTATAGTTCATATAATCTATGAGTAATTCAACGTTTGACTGCACAACTGAAAAAAACTAATTTTTCTTTATAGGTGGGGAAGTGGACTTTATCACACAATTGAAGAAATAGTTTACGTGACTCGTGAGGAAAGTAAATTTCACAGTTTAACCAACCATCCATCAAATGATCAATAAAGTACCGCAAGAAAAATTAATTTGTCTCACTTGTGCAAAATAAGTACACAAAGTAATTTTACAGAAAAAATGGCACAAAAATACATACAATACTTTAAAATACAAAAATGCCAAAAATAATACTTACACTTAAAATACAATTATGAAAACAACTTGGATGTTGTGGGTGCAACTTGGAAGAACGTCAATGAAATGGGAAAAACAAGGCCGAGTGTCAAGAAGGATTTTTATCCTAGTAAATTTTGTGACAAGTGTCTTCAGGGACAAGTTAGGTTTGAGAAATCATTTTTCATTGTAATTTTTTTTTGTAAAACTACCAAAGAGTAACTTAAAATAGAAAAAGTATCCGTTTTCATGTAGATTACTTATTAGGACAAGACTTTTGGTTATAATTGTCTCGCTCACCCCTAATGAGTAATAATAGAAACAACAAAAAACATAAATATATCACAAGGATAAAAATTTGCTAACCTTCATTCTACTAATATACCAAATATACGATCTGTACTCCATTCACGAGGTACATTCGTAAGAGACCAGATCTTCACCAATAAAAAATACTGCCGAGGCTTCGTAATCCATTTTTGAATTTTCTCTGTTGAAAAAGCTGCAAATTTCCGCTCTGGACAAAAACATGATTTCACACACACTGGTGTCGTATTTAGTTGAATTAAACTAACAAAATAATTTTTACAAATATATACAAATCTACAATGTTGGAATGAAACGAATTTAGTCTTGAAAATCAGGAATATGCTTAGAGTTTCTCAAGCATTGGCAAGCCGAGTGATTCTGGAATTTCTATATCTTCCAGGCAAATGACTGAAGGATTGAATGGAAATCGTATAGGAAATTGGTACTTGACGTCCATTAGAAGAGTCTGAAAAATAAAATTTTATGTTCATTAAAATATTATATATTCGAAATATAATTTAGGTATAAGTCTATCCATTCACAATTGGAACGGCAATAAAAATAAGAGTACAGCCATAAACATTTCTCGGCTGTGGCCCCTAGTCGCCCAGATAGTTAGTAAACGTGCTATCAAATGTAGTTGAGGAATAAAGGCGCGGCTAGGTGGAGTGGCTGAATACTAATTTCTTGTCCGTTTCACAATATTTCGTTATCAGTGCCGTGTGTTCGTGGGGTTAGGTGAGGTAGTGAGTGGTTTTGCAAACCACCACAAACAAAGGTATTACTGGCGACCATAAAACAATGTAATTTCAAAAAAGAGTATATTATTGATTCGATGTGTGGAACACGTGGTCATATTCTCTTACGTTTGCCTCCATACTATTGTGTGTTCAATCCATTTGTAAGAATAAGTAACTGAAAAACTACCACTGAAAAATAATATGCCGACGCCTATGTCGAGGCGGGAATTCCTTCTCTCTGTGCTGTTCCAATTAGTATTGGAAATACTATATCAATTGAGTAACTACCATCATGACCATCAAAGTTATCAGTTCCTGAGACGCAACAATAATTATGTATTGTAAAATGGTTACGGGATGACTCCTCGATGGAATATAAAGAAAAAGTTCGGTTGTAAACAGGCCACCAGTTGTACAAAAACGAACAAAATTCTCGAAACACACACACACATCGAAACACACTCATTTTCCAAAAATGTCGACTCACCTGCTGGGCCTGCGCACTGGGCCTCTCCTGCAGCTTGGCCTGCACCAGCCTGATGAAAGATGCCGGCACCCTCTGCTCGAACTCGTCTACCGGCGTGTATAGATTGAGGATCTTGCAGATCTGGAGAGGCGTCAAAGCGCTGCACATCTCGCAGATGCTGGCAACGTCTTCATCTGTCTTCCTTGCTTGCAACAAGTGAGCAGCCTGGATAATCGGCTGGAGCGTAGCTTGAATCGCGTTCTCCTGCAACAGAAAACAAAAACGACATAACTTACATCAGTTTCTAGTTCGCTGAATACTCACGTCCAAGTTCTTCTCTCTCGTCCACATCTCGAAGTGGGACAGGTTGTGCCTGATCTGGAAGCCTTTGGACCAATGGCAGAGTTCCTTCCGCAGCAGCAGGTTGTTCAAGCTAGACGCGCAGATGAAGTAGAAGACTTGCTTGAAGATTTGCGATATCACTTCTGGATCGACGCCGTAGAAAGTTAGGATCTGCAGGGAAATTTGGAAATTATGATGGTGGCAGGATGTTTCAGACTCCTTACCTTGTGGTGATTGGTCAGTTCTTGAAGCAAGGCTGTCGTGGGTTTTTGTCCGCCCACAGGACTGCCCAGGTTGCTGGAAGAGCTGCCCATCCTCCCCCTGAAGCCGCCAGGTTTGCTGCCGCTTATCCCAGGTATCTCTTCATGTTCCAGAATGGCGGGTACGATGAATGGCTGGACTTTCTCTTCCAAGGTCGTTATGACCGCTGACGACAAGAATTCAGTTAGAGTTTTCTGTGCTATGCAAAACACAGACACCGTTCTTACCTTGGTAAATCCAAACAGCAGTGTCGGAGAATATTTGTCGGTACTCGGAAAGGTCGAAGTTCCTCAAACACTGCTCGTTTTGTTTTGGGGTGTTTTTCTTCTGGAACGCTTCATCGCCGCTGTATTGCTTCATGTTGTGTATCAGTCTGGAGGAAGATACAATGAATATTGTAACAATTCACAGAATTAACTGTCTCAAACATATTTATTTCCAACAATATTTCACTATCAAAAACTAATTTATTTAAAACACTTAGCAACTAACGCTTAATTTATTTCCACTATTTAAATTCCTTGTTTAACCGCTTGATTAACTTTCTGAACTCAACTGCCCTCTTTGGACGAGAAGCCCGCCTTATATATCGGTAACGATCGTTCTAGAATTCTATAGTGTTTCGGTACTCAACTAGAGTTTAATCGGCGGTTGCCGACTGCATTCTTTCGCGCTGAGTCATGTATTTATTCGATTAATCGGCTGGCGTATGGGTCAGGAACGGCTTCATCGTTACAATATATTAAGATTAGGTGCTGATCTATATATGAGGTGGCCGTCTATGCAAGACATTATGTTTTGAAGTGAAATTTGAAAGTAGACAGGTTCCTGAACAGTGTTTGTAGCTATTCCAACATTGAAAACCCGAGTTTATGCGTCGATATGCGTCAAATATGATTGCAGACACAACTAAATATTCACGAAGACAGCTGGAGAGAAGCGTCTTGTTAAAAAGAACTAGGCTGATACCTTTTTCACTTGTATTTAAACGCATACATACCTTAAAGTATTCGAAAGCCAAAGAGTTGTAGTTTCAAAGTCTGAATGCCTTTTTCTGATGAGTTTCTTCACTGTATTCCCGAACGCAGAGAGTAGAGTCCTAACCTTGTCCTCGTCATTGATGTAATCCGTGTGTCGGATGCACATGAATAATTATATACGCCGGCAAACCCGGCAAAAGTGCGACCGCAGTTCTTGGTTTCAACTCTGAAAAAGCAGAAGGATTTTCAACATTGTTGGACTTGAACTCCTTAAAAACAGTCAACTATTGAAAACAATTTTGAACACCAGAATTGGAGCATTATCTCGCGACGCGCATTTTGCTAACCAAGTTAGCATCATTCAGTTTTAGTAATCTTCTGATAAAGCAAAGATCCTGTCAAAGTCAGATTATTCATATGGACATGTCGACAAATCTATGGAAAATCTTGGGGTTTGGAACCCAAACGATTCCAATCAATGTATGTGATGGTTGGCCCCCAGTTTTCCTGAAATTTGACATCAAAACTTGGTCATAGTATATGATTCTGAGCTATAAACACTCTCAAGTCTCTGGCTCTACCTCAGATCATGGTATTCAAACATATGTATACATGCTATCACATAATATACTGCAAGTAGACTAGAATGATTTAAATATGGTTCCATTTGTTTAATTGCTTTGTTGAGACTTGAATTCACACTTTCCATATGTGTGTCCCACTTTAGATCCTCGTCGAAATGGGTACCTGAAAACTCAACTCCTGCTGAAAGAACGATATCGTGTATCCAGAAGTGTTTCTATGCTTGGCTTCTCTAGTAAAGAAATTTCACAATGACTGACACGAGCTAGTCATTTCAACTGGACACAAATACTACTTTCTTGGTATAAATCAAGAGGAGAGTATACGAATTTGGTCCCACGTTGGGCGCCAAAGCTCTCATTCGGACGTCATCTACAGAAATACTGTATCCCTGTTCAACAATTGTCACTGTAGACTAACTTAGTTACGCTTGGATAGGAGATACTTCAAGCATAGCAATGAAAGAAGGAATAGAGTTTACTCGAAAGTTTTATTAGGGTTTTGCGTTCCTAACATTGAAATTAATGGAGAAATAAGAGTAACAACTAATCAATATCGAATTGAACCATGATGGCCACTCGCGCCAGCGAAACGTCAGGAAGAATTTCCAAAAATCTACGGCTTTCAAACTCGAAAAACAGTCACACCAATTTAGTTTTGTTTGCCGCATTATAAATTGTATAACTGATTCGCTTTCGTCTTCCTGATATTTTGTTTGTGATTCATATTACTCGCACGAGTCGGAGCAAGTTTCCTGCATGTGAGATAAAAACCAAAACATATCTAAAGATATGTTTGACAGGGTGTTGCCAAATTCCTGTTCTAATTAGTATGTATGTAAATCTGAATTTATTTACCATTTTATTGATTTTGGAAAAAAACTATTTTGCTTAAAATTTCATATATATGAAAATAATCGAAATTATTTAAACTCACCTACAACCAATTGCTTCATGATAGCGTTCTCGTCCCCGCTCCTGAACGCAAACATGCCCGAGTACTCCCTCTCCTTTTTCCTTATGGTGGCCGCCGTTCTCGTCGGCTGCGTCCTCGCCTCGCTCTCCTCTATGACGACGACGTCGCTCGTCAAATCGAACCCGGCCTCTTTGAGTTTCTTCGTGAGCGCCTTCAGCTGCTTTTTGAGCTTGCGCGTCGCTTCGTTCAGCTGGTCGTTTCTGTCGTGCAGCTCGAGATTTTCCGCCGTGAGTCGCGTGATTTCGGCTTGCATGAACGCCTCGTTCTGCGAGCGCGGAGTAGTCGTCAGATTGGCCGCGAGTATGCGCTGCTGGCGCTCATTGTCCTCTCGTAGCTTCTCGATCTCCAGCTTGTACTCTCGCTCGTGGGCCTTGTACTTGGTCTTCTCGTCTTGAAGCTCGAGCTCCAGCTGCTTGTTGATCGTCTTCTGCGTCTCGTATGCCTGCGCGAGCTCCCCGTCTTCGTTTATGTATTCGCCTGTCAAGGTAGAGTCAGGGTTCGGGGATAACGGGAGGAAGAAATCATAAATAACTCGTGCAAAATCATAAGAAAACGAAGACGCGAGATAGAAGGCTCACCTGTTCTTGTTTTGTTGTTGAATATCGACTTCATGTTGTTGGTCTGGGCTGCCAAGACGCCCTTCAGTTGGACGATTTCTTCGCTCCTTCTGTCGAGTTCGTCTTGGAGGGCTGCCAATTGCTCCTGAAGTTTTGACGTACCGGTGCCTGTGAAAGAAACGACCACATACAAAAAATTGATATATAAAATAAATTCTACAATAGCAAACTTGTCATAATCAACATGTCCAGATTACTAAGCTTAAGGATTTAGTGGAGAATATGTAATCTCAGGACTAGTACTAGAGTCACCAAGATTTAGCCAAAGGTGGGTTAAAGGGCACGACAGGAGTAACGGTAATCGCCGACTCTTTAACCAAGGAAGCGGCTGAACTACTCTACAGAGACAGGTGTCATATCCGGTTTGAACATTCCGAGTAGTATTACGCAAATTATCTGGGCTGAGTATAAAATAAAAATCGAAATGAATATATCCCCAAAATTGAGTTGGAATATTCTTGAAGAGACTTTTTGGGCGCTTTTCTGATTCCAATAGAGGCGCTTCAATAACAAAAAATTGAGTATAAAATAAAAATCGAAATGAATATATCCCCAAAATTGACTTGGAATATTCTTGAAGAGACTTTTTGGACGCTTTTCTGATTCCAATAGAGGCGCTTCAATAACAAAAAACGGAATACTTTCCGAATTTTTTCGCGCGGTGAACTTTTCGGTTTGTCGTTTATTACATTTGCGCATATTATCTGTTGATTCAGATTGAGGAAAGTTGAAAATCTAGAAAATACCAAAAAACAAGTTGGAATATGTTTTGTATATTTCCTATGATTATTATTCATCTTCCGTTAGAGTAAAACGATTGAAAAAATCCATTCTGCCACATGCCTTTTGGACTTCAAAACGACCCATCTGATTTACAAAGAGTCACCAGTCGCGAAATATGTTTTCTAGAAGCCTAAATCATATAATCTTCAATATAATTCAAGTACAATGGGGAATGTTCCTCAATTTGGGTTATTACAATAAATGCAAGTTTGAACAAAATAAAGTTGAGTTTAATTCATGAGTTTTTCAAATCACTTCGAGAAGTATTCAAATTGATGTTTCAAATGTTGGGTTTAAATTTTTAAAGGGATTTGTTTCTAATTCGCATATTGGCAACATCGCCTATATCAAGTTGAAATAATTTATACGTACCTAGATATGCTACTTTAAAAAAGGAAAATTATCTTTATAAATCAACAATTAAGGCAAAATATTAATTATAGTTCCATATCACCTCCACAAGCCACATAAACAACAGTTGTTTTGTTATTCATTTATATAGAGGAAGATAGGTTAGGTGCACAAAATGTCATGTCACAGAATGTCTCGGAACTCGGAACATGAGTAAACAGAACAGCACGCCTCTGAAATATGTCATTCAGATTCATTGCCCTTTATTAGCTATAACCGATGTTGCCAAATGGTGAAATAGAAACCAATCCCTTTGAATGTTGAATGCGTTATTTCATTCCTCTTTTTTAAGTATTTAAATAATATTTTAAAGAAAATGGTTGAAATGATAAGTTTAAAATGCCTTGTTTTAGAGCTCTTTTATGAAAACTACTTGATTTTCGTCAGGAGGAACATTCCCCATTATGTGAATACATAATAAAATTAACGAAACATTTTCACAACAGGAATTGCAGTCATATTATCAGTAAGTGTAGCATTTTTAAAGCACTTTCAGGAAGTGATTGGGGTCGAAAAATTGAGTGAAGAGAATTCAGATGATTCCACTGGACTATCAGACGCATATATACATAAAACAGAATAACAACCTATTCAAGAAATTGGAAAGTGGAAAAAACCGGAAATACAAAACGGTAGCATATCTATAAAGCATAAAAAGTAATTTAAACATATTTGTGTACTAATAGTACGAAAACGAGAGTAGGTATCTTAAATATCTAGTGAAACGCCTTACAAACACAAACACATGAAACAATTCCCGAAACTCACCCTCACTGATGCTGTTCCTCAGCTCGAGCAGCTGTGACTTGAGCTGCGAGTTGCAGAGTTCCAACTCCGAAATTTTGACTGCGCTTTCAGCTTCGCTCCGAGCCCTTTCCGTTTTCGGCGACATGTCGATCTCGTCTAGACGTTTCTGCATGCGGACCTTCTCTCTTTCAACTTCTGAGAGCTTGTGCTGCAGCTTGAGGACCAGCCCGACGTCGACTTTGGATTCTGGTTCATGTTTCGTGTTGGTGTCACTAGTGCTGGTTGTGTTTGGGGTTTGGCTCTCGCTAGTGGCTGAAATCGAAGCAAAAGTTTGGAGTTTTATTTTTTTATCAGTGCTGTAAGAAGCTGAAGTATTGTTACGTTCATGGAGAACTAACTACGTGATCTAGGGGATGAACCGCCACTGGCATTGCTGAGCATCTAGCTGAAGGGCCGGTTCATAGAACTGGATAAAAATAGCGCCGACTTTAGACGAAGGGACACCTGAGATAAGTGGTATTCTTCGACGTCATTGTGGAGAAATTAGTTTTGGTCGGTCTCCGGTTAGTTCGATAAGGCGGTTCATTCTCGACTCGAATGAAATAAAGTCACAAAACAGACATTTCAAGTATTCAATTGATATTGAAAACCAGTGACGATCTTCTTACCTTACCTTAAATATCTACATACTATAGAAGTTTTGACAACACGTCGAGTGATCCGTTGAAGCCTTCACCATGGGTTTTGTTCTCCTTATAACACAGGCCTGATAGTACTACCGGTAGTTTAAACTGAGGCTAAGTGACTTCTATATTCTTCATTATTACTTTCACTTGTCACACTATTGTCAGTATACTAAAGTTTTATATAACATTTCCAAATTCATTTCATTTACGTAAAGCTTTCAATATTCACTTCAATCAAAGGCATATTATTCTATGAAGCTTTTTACTCACTTTATCAAAAGAAGTCCATCCAATATTAATTGTCAATTAGGTTACTATACCATAGATGAAATTAGTACATGTTTACTTTATCGGTTCCTCGGAATTGAGATATGATAAGGCAGATAAGACATTATTAATGAGCGTGTAATCTTTGATTAATTTTGTCATAATTCATCAAAACATTTTTGTTAATAGTACTCAATACTAATTTATTTACAAAACACAACATATAATTTGTTTTTGCTGATGAATGGAGTTTTTGTTTACATATCTGTATGTGTTTATTTTCTGTGTCCAAGCGCTCGTTCCTTAGATTTTATGTTCCATTGGGAACTATATAGTTGCGTATAGTTTAGTTGCTCTTCACCTCGTTTCCTTATAATGAATGTGTCTTAAACGTGGTGCAACCAGTAACAGTGCCTTTAAAGATAAGTGTCAGAACTTACTCTCGTGAATACTAAATCCGTTGCCTCACCATCTCTGATAATATCTACCACAGGTTTAGATTAAACTTCAGGCATAAAACTTGTAGCCCGAGGCTAACAAACTCAGGAAATAGTTCAAAACAGTGATGAAGAATAATAAAGAAGTCCAAGTGCAACTGCGAATGCCCTATTATGACAACTTGGGAAACAGAAATTTGAGTCAAAGTAACAAAAATTTTGAATACCGAATAGGTATTCACAGGTTAAAAACTTGTGAATACGAAACAATTAATTTCAGAAGGATATCCAATATTCAATAATTAATCTAAAAATCATTCACGCCGGTTAGGGGCCGTGTGAACCGAAAACACTTTAGAATCATACAAAACAGATAGTGTATTTATTGATTAAAAAGGTTTAGAGAGTTTTTAAGTGCATTAATCGAAGCTGGTCAATGATAGTCTAGATTTTAAGAGATCAATAGAAGCATTTGATGACGCAGACTATAAATGTTCATTTTAAAATGAAAATTCATTTCATTGAAATTACAGAAGAAGCAAGAGAGATCTTGAGGAATATCATCTAAATATCTGTGTAATATTCATCATTGTGTAGACAACGTTTACAGAGCTTTATCAGAATCTGACATGAATCATTACTATATGTTATAGGATGTTTGGGAAAACCATGGAGAAATAGGAGGTAGCGGTCGATGTTTTTGAAAAACGGCAACTCTGTTGCCGTCTTTCAAAAAGAAAAGAACAATGAAAAACCCTTTTTAGAGATGTATTCGGTTTCTCTTCAGGAACCCCGAATTACAAAAAAAATAGCGACTCTGAACCCACTTCACAAACCCTACAACTATGCAACTATAAATAAAACAAACCGACTCACCTTCGTTCTTCCAATCGATATTCTCCAACTTCTCCCTGGTCGAACTATTGCTAGTAGTTGACCTCACCGAACCGTAGCCATGATCTTCGGGCAGGTCGCTGTTCATCATGGTCTCCTCCAACCCGAAAATGCTGCTGATATCGCTGACATTCCTCTTGTGCGCTCCCTGGTGGCCCTGGACCGCGTTCATCGCCATCTTCAGCTCCTCGTAGTGCTGCTCTAGGATGTGGTGATCGTTGAGCAGGCGCTGATACGCCTCCCTGTCGCTGTCCGCTTCGTTCAGCATCATCATCTTCTCCTCCGCGAGGCGCACCTTGAGGTTCTCCTCTGCGCCCTTCTCGTTCGTCCTGACGATTTCATTGATGTTCTCCAACTCTTGTCGCAGCTTCGCGGTCTCTTGCGCCCACATCTCACGCTGCTCCTCGGTTTCCTTTCGGAAGCGTTCGCGCTCCTCTAGTAAGTCCATCTTCTCGTCGCCCTCGATCTTGAGTCGTTCTTCCAAGCCGACGATAGATTTGTTTTTCTCGATGATCAGGTTGTTCAGATTCTTGATTTCGATTTCCATCGCTCGGAACGACTGCATTTTTGTTCTGAAAATGTTTTGTTTGCATTCTAAGGGACTGTCATACTCGGTAATGAAATTCCGATCAACTTAAGGCGAATACAGGATAAAACGAGGTTTAGAAATAAGGTAAAGTAATTACTTGTAAGGGACTATCACAGTGTGGATAAATTCTACCAAGATACCACAAGAATTTAGCTATCATTGAGCATAGCCTAGATGAATTTTGTGATAATTTCAACTAAGTGCAACTAACTGTAATAATAGTTACGAAAGTAACTATTATTACATTTTATCCTACTTGTATCATTCTTGAGACAATGAAGTATAATTTGGATTGGATTGAAACTCTCTGCTTGACTTGGCCAGAGAGCCATTGCAACCTGTAGGTATAGGTGAAAGGTCCATGATTGAAAGAATGTATGGAATACGCCTAGGAATGTGGCGATATTGGTGAATTTTGAAAGGCGTCTGAAATTCTTTTTGCAGTCCAGGCATTCAGGACTGAAACATCCTTGATATTCGAGTATTGAGTTCTTTCTCGCTCCGATAGATAGCATCGCCTTCGCAAGGGGAGATGTTATCGCCCTCACTCAGTCCTTCAAGAGCAATCCAGCAATACATTTTTTGTTTTCAAACTGAGGACATGTGTGAACCTTATAGTGAGGGTAGAACCGCAGTGGTAAAACAAAGACGTCGTATCTCAGTGCCACAGACGCCAGTACTTCAGACACTTGCAAAGGTGCTGCCACGGAACGGCACGTTGCGTGAAGTGCGAAGAGCAGCACCGATCAAGACATTGCGAAAAGACAGTTAAATACGCTCGCAAAGTGCGCAATTCACAGGGGGCACATCCTGCCAATTAAAGGGGCTGTAAAATGTTCCCAAAACCTAGGCAAGCGCCGTTCTCAAGAAATGCTAGGACCAGCCAGCCACAGAGCCAGCGGCCAAGGAACAAGCTCGCGGCCTGACCCCAGAAGAAAAGAGTAAATAGGGTGTACGAATATTAGCTCATTCCTCATGGAGATCAACATGGGAAATTGCTAAGGTTCATTTGGGAGATTTTTGTCCATTTCAAGGTCACGCGGTAGTAGATGAACTATGCCGAAAAGCAATGAAGTACATCGTTTTCCGTGCGTTTTCGATCGTTTTCCGTGCATTTTCGATTGTTTCCCGTGCGTTTTCGATCGTTTTCCGTGCGTTTTCGAACGTTTTCCATGCGTTTTCGATCGTTTTCCATACGTTTCCGACCGTTTTTCGTACGTAACCATCACATACTTGACCAACTGCGCTACGAAAGCGCTACACAAAAAGCGTTACGCGAAAACGCACGAAAAACGGTCGAAAACGCACGGAAAACGATCGAAAACGCACGAAAAACGGTCAAAAACGCCCGGAAAACACATGGAAAACGATCGAAAACGCACAGAAAACGATCGAAAACGTATGGAAAACGATCGAAAACGCACGGAAAACGATCAAAAATGTATGGAAAAGGTCGAAACCGTACGGAAAACGATCGAAAACGCATGGAAAATGATCGAAAACTCACAGAAAACGATCGAAAATGCACGGAAAACGATCGAAAACGCACGTAAAACGATGTACTTCATTGCTTTTCGGCATAGTTCATCTACTACCGCGTGACCTTGAAATGGACAGAAATCTCCCAAATGAACCTTAACAATTTCCCATGTTAATCTCCATAAGGAATGGACTAGAACTCCTATAGCTTACTTACTGAAAATAACCCCACCGAAGGTGTAAGTAACCGGAGGAAATATCAATGACCAAAAAAATATTCTCGACAGGCTCACTAGCGAGCAGAAAACAATCGCTCAAGCGCCGTTATCTGCCCTGCTACAGGAACCCGGAGAACGGTAATGGCAGCAAAATGGATTCCGGATAGTCTGACGATCTTGGAATACCAACGGCATTGCAGTTAAATTAGCATTCATTTTCGAAAACGCACGGAAAACGATCGAAAACGCATGGAAAACGATCGAAAACGCACGGAAAACGATCGAAAACGCACGGAAAACGATGTACTTCATTGCTTTTAGGCATAGTTCATCTACTACCGCGTGACCTGGAAATGGACAAAAATCTCCCAAATGAACCTTAGCAATTTCCCATGTTAATCTCCTTAAGGAATGGGCTAGAACTTCTATAGCCTATTTACTGAAAATAACCCCACCGAAGGCGCAAGTAACCGGAGGAAATATCAATGACCTAAAAAATATTCTCGACAGGCTCACTAGCGAGCAGAAAATAATCGCTCAAGCGCCGTTATCTGCCCTGCTAGAGGAACCCGGAGAACGGTAATGGCAGCAAAATGGATTCCGGATAGTCTGACGATCTTGGAATACCAACGGCATTGCAGTTAAATTAGCATTCATTCAGTATGTATCTATAAAGTATGTTTTCTATTGATTTTTGTATCAATATACTTTATCTAACAGAGATTACACTGCCAAGCCGTGTTAGTAAGGGCAATAGTTGATATAACTGAGCTAATAACACATATTTCATTATTTCTAAGGCGCTAAAAGTTCTCCGAGTCAGCCAGTATATTTATATAATCGACTGTAGTACAGGATGACCCAGAAACTAACTTACATACTTACTTCATTTCGAGGACTTCGTTCTGGTAATTCCTAAGCTCATTGTTCGTCTTGTTGAGTTCGTCGATCTTCTGCTGCAAGCTGATGATCTTGTTCTCCAAGCCCTTATTTAGGGTCTTGACGTGTTCGATGGATCTTGCTTCGATCCTCAACTTCTTATACTGTTTCCTCGCCAGGTACCTCCTGATAGCCGATTGACAGATAACAATTTTTCTTTGCCTTGCCTTAAACTCTCTACGGGCCAAACAGCCTCTTACGTGTTTCTGGATCATTATTGCCTGCAAAAATATGTGACCAATCAAGTTTTTTTGGGCACATGTATTTTTTTCAATAAGCGTTTGTAAAAGAATGTTGGTGACATCATTTCAACGCATGAATAAGAAGAAACAATTGATATATTTGCTACAATCTGTACTTTTATAACTCACCGCCGCATTGCACCTCAACTGCTGGAACCTCAACCTAGCCAAATATCCTCTCGCGCGCGTCTGCAGACCAGTGACGCACTTCTTCAGCGTGACGAACCGCACCCGCTTCATCCACCCGCGCACGTACCGCTGTATCGTCTTCGCGCTGCGCTCCCTCCTCAGACTCTCGGCCAGCCGCCTCGCCAGCAAGCCCCTTCCGTACTGCTGCATCAGCATCGCCGACCTCCGCACCTTCAGGTAACGTTTCCTCGCCACGAACATCCTCACGGTCTTCTGCATTATGACGCAGCATGCTCTGCGCTTGTCCGCGCGCAGCTTCTCCAGGTAGGCCACTTGCCCGGCGCGGAAGAAGATCTTCGTCTTGCCGAACTGGTACACGTCAGGATTCCGGATACACTTGTCGAGGATGTTTTCGCACGTCTTGCGCATGTCGTTCCTGTCCACGTCTTGGAACTTGCACAGCACCCTGTAGCGGTAGAAGAAGTCCACGTAGGTCCATCTGCTCGGGAAGCCGGCCGAAGAGAGTCGAATGGTCTCGATGACGCCGCAGGCGCGGAGTTGTTGGACCGCGCGTTTGGGGTTGTATTCGAACGCGGTTTTCGAGTCGTTTGGCTTGATGCATCGCACATAGTGGGGGGTGGTGGCGTTGAGGGTGGACATGAGCATGTTGAGCGAGTCTCTGAACTAAAAAAAAAAGTTAAAAACTGGTCAGTGTTATTGAGAATGAGTGAAGCTGATCACTCCATACAAAAACAAACTTCAGCTCAGGATCAAAGATGTTATTGAATTGATCACCCCATGAAATACCAACCACTGAAATATTTAAAAACATGTAATGCTTGAAACCGAAAACTCACTTGCGAACAAACCGATTTCTTGTGCGTCTTCTGCGACATCACTGCCGGCTTGGCGGCCACAATCTTCAACTTCGTCCCGGCCGGCGCCAATTTCTGCGACTCAGAAGCAAACAACCGCTTCACCAAGTGGTTTTTGCTAGCCTTGACGACGTTTATCTGCTCTTCGATAACCGTGTCGCGGTTCTTCTCCAGAAATCCGTTGCTCTCGTACTGAACCTTGTCGGCGAAGTGGTTGACGACGAAGGACGACGAACCGAAACGTCCTTTGGAGAAGTGAGAGTACTTGGCGCACTTCGTGTACAGTTTCTCCGTCCAGGACGCGTCCGAACCTCGGGGCATCTGCAGATAGCGAAGATATAAGAAAGTCTAAGTTTCGGAGGGACTTACCTTGCACTCCTCGTCCAGCAGATCTAGCACCCCTAGTTTGGCTTCTATCAAATCGATGCAAGGCTGATTATCGTAAAACTCAATCATTTTCCACTCGATGCCCTCCCTGATGTACTCCTCTTGCTCTAGCTTGAACACGTGCAGGTTGAACTGCTGCTGCAGCTTTTCGTTGGCGTAATTTATGCAAAATTGTTCGAAAGAGTTTGTTTCGAATGTTTCGAAACCGTAAATATCTAATACTCCCACAAATCTGTGCTTGACAGAGTCGGATTCCAACGATCTGCGGTGGAAAATCGAAAGGTTACTTTGAATGTGCTTAGCAATGTTTCTTGGTGAATATTAGAGTTTCGAACCTCCATTGTCTAGAAAATGTGTTGACAGATTGGAAATCTTGTCCAGATTCATACTCCCAATCATTCAACAGCTACAAGGAAAAACCTCCCTTTCGTGAAGAATTCGATGCCCTTTGTTGAATTACTGGAGGTAATTGGAGTCATAGTACACCAAATTTATCTTCGAAGAAGCACTTCAGATCTTACAAAGGAAGATGTGGACGAAGATTTGGAAACGAGGTTACTAGGATGCTATTTCCAGCTTAGAAATGAGTTATTAGTGGAAGACGATAAACTGATTAGATCGCCACTTTCACCGGTTGTTATCAACATATTTATGGACTGATTGGAAATGCTGACTTTTGAAGACGACCACAAGAAGCCCCCAGTCTAGTTGAATTACTTTGAAGACTCCTTCATAGAATGAATCTATGGAGACACGGAACAAGGAAGTAAGGAAGTGCACAGTGAACTGATCTTTCTAAACGTGATGCTGAAGAGGACCGACATATTATGTATAAACACGATACACCCACTACCAATGTACCAAGAACGGGAAAGAGTCAAATTGATCATGCATCTGATCTCTGTAGCAACAAAAATCTTCAACAGAATGGTTACTCCGAAAAGATAGTGTAACAGACTTAGGCCAGAAGGCAAGAAACCCGCAAGAAAGAGAAACCACCCCAACCAGTGATATCCCTTCTTAGCGGCGAAGGTGGAAATTGGTGCGTGAAGAAAGAACGTCTGTTGTCGCGGAAATTCTGACAGTCCCACCTGCGCAATGAAGACCAGTCCTGCGTCCTTTGTCAACACCTTTTTTAGACAATAATGACAGTGCTAAACCTTTAACATTCAATGAATAGTTAGTTTTTGGCCCCACGTTGGGCGCCGCTGGATTCTCACCTGTTAATGACGAGAACGATCCAGTTGAACAGCGCAGCGTAGATGTGCTTCGCCAGGGCGTCTCTAGAAGATGTCGCTTCCTCTATCGACATCGGTTTCATGTAAACGTCTCGCACCGACACCAGTTTCTTTATGCACAGCCACTGCCGCATTTCTTCTCCATCAATTTCCAGGAGCTCCGAGAGGATTTTCATGTGTTCATCTTCTGGCTGAAAAACAACTCTGGATCATTACCACTACGCGCGTGTAACGCATAGAGTATTTACCCTTATCAGACACCCCTCTTGATCCTGTTCGTTTTCGGTTTCGATGACGCATTCGAAGAATCTGATGTTGCCGAGATGGAGAACGGAAGCGAGAATTTTGAACATGTCCGTTTGTTCTTTCTCGGAGAAACCGAGCAGGTTGAGAGCATTGACTGTTTCTTCGAAGTCCCTAGAATCGTCGACGCCCGAAACGTCGGGGCTCTCACCTTGGTTCAAGTAGTGGAATTTGTTTTGGTGGTCTGAAAGGGCAAAATGTATACTGGATTGGTTCGTGAACAAGGGCAAGGTGGAAAAGGCGATGGAAAAAATAGAAAAATCAACAGTTCGAAGGCAAAACTTGTTTTAATCAAGAGGCTATTGCCTGGCAGCAAAAAATTACTCATTACAATGAACCCTTGAGGGTATAATAGATTCTAACAATCCAATGGTGGATCGCAGAAGAGCAAGTCGCTTGTTGTGATCATTACAGGAACAAATCACATTATTTCCTTACCTAAATGCAGATATGGTAGTCGTTGCCTAGCCGAGCAAATCTGATAGAAAATGTGGTAGTTCCTTTCGTCTGGCGCTTGGAACACCACCCTCGACTTCTCCAAGAGGTAAGTCCGCATCGAAGCTCCGTTAATATTGTATTGTTTATTAAACTGCAGCTCTATGAATTTGCCGAACCTTGAGCTGTTGTCATTCCTTGTCGTCTTAGCGTTGCCGATGGCCTGAGAAAAGAAAAATAAAGGTTATCCCGCAACACCTTCTCGTTAGTTCACCGTCTCACCTCCATGATGGGGCTGCTGGCCAGCACCCTCTTCTCGATCTGAGTCTCCGTATCACTGCCACCAACAGTAGCGAAGTACCTCATGGTGTATTTCGCAGATACGGTTTTTCCAGCTCCGCTCTCTCCAGAAACAATGATGCTCTGGTCGCGTTGTTCTCTTTCGAGTTTCACGTAAGCCTCTTCAGCCACGGCGAAGATATGCGGGTCCAGGTTGCCGAGAGCTTGGCCTCGGTACGTCTGAATCGTGTCGATGTCTGCAAATAATAATAACTGCATTATTCCAAGGGTATAAACTCTCCCAGCTAGAGATGAGTAGGCCTAAGCTTTATTCAGGGTTTATTGACCGAGGTCTGCAGGTTTTATGCCCGACCTTTCGCTAATAATTGCGGTGGCATCTCAAAGACTTTGATTGTTCTGGCAACGCGTATTACACTGCAAGTGTATGTCATCATCTATCGCAGTTGTGGACGAAAAGTCACAAAACCTGCAGGCCACGGTCAACAACTCGTGGCGACCTATAACAAAATGGCTTCTCAGCCAAGTTAGTGGAACACGCATTTGCATTCAGAAAAGGATAGGAGATTAATAAAAAGACGCTGTTGCAAGCAATACTAACCTGAAAGGACCAGAAAAATACAATTCAAGTTTACAGAATCTTCGAAAAAATAAAACCACCAAACAGTGAGTTGAAAAAGTGCGTTTATGAAAAAACTTGTGACTCTCGCAAGTGTAACAAGAGATCATAAAACACAAAAGAAAAATGGAAACAAAAACATCTGTTGCAAATTTTAAATAATTTCATCACAACTTTAAATTTTTGTTTATAAGCTAGGGTTCAAGGGTGTTGAGATCTGCCACGAACTACCATGCAACACACACATGTGAATAGGATCGATTAAGCTAGTAAACTGAATTGGAACAGATGAAAAGATGCCGAAGCTGACAAGGGAAACGAATATGAAGATGATTATACGTATCTAGCAAGTCTTGGATACTGGAAGATTAGATTGAACTCAAACAAAAAGGATATCTCCACGAAAATAAGAAGTCATGTTTCGTGACCATGACCCGTAACGGTAATCTGTTACCCGTAACGATAATGTGTTACCCGTAACGGTCAATTGTTACCCGTAACGGTAATGTGTTACGGGCCATGGATCACAAAACATGACTTCTTGTTTTTCTGGAGTAACCAAAATTTGCGAGAGCATTCTTCTTAGGGTTATCTCATCAAGTATATTTTATAAGATAATCATTTCATTCATCCCAATCTCATATGGTTTATAAACGAAGGAAAAAAGAAAATTGGATCTGTTTGTCAAAACGAATCTAATGCAAGAACACCGTTGTTAAAGTATACTGGGTTCCCAATATTTACACGCGGGTTTGTTGCAGTGCGTGTTTTCGAGAGTATAGTATTTTCACTTCACACTGTCCTCATGAAAGCACTAAAAGCGATGTTGCCAGACTGACAAAGCTAACACACCAATTTCATATTTAGACTCCCAAAGGATGGGTGGTACTGTAAGAGATATAATGATCTTAATGTCTCCATAACGTCTATGTTATTATGAAGATACATATATTCTACATAACATAATTTTTTATTGAATAAATCAGGGAGAAACATGTATCACCACCTTACAGAACCACCAATTATATATAATGCCAGTATAAACTCATCGTTAAAACATTATGAGTAACAGTGTTCTTTCTCTGCTATATATTGTTGCATCTTTATGGCGATAGCCATAACCGATGACACTCCTTTCAAAATACTTTTTGAATGCTTCAAGTGCTTCTTGAGCGAGTATGAATATACGAGTGAAATGACATCATTCAAATAGACTTTACGAAATCTGTCTACTAATTCAATCGGGACAGTGGTCACTAGTTTATGAAAAACGGTTGGAGCATTATTCAGGCCAAATGGTAGCCGAATAAATTTCGAACATAGCTAGGAAAACTGAATTCATAATCTATTTTTTCTTAACTTCCAGTGTATTTTGTCTAACAATTATAAAAAAAGCAAAGAAGAATTTATTGTGAAAACTCACTTTTAATAAAAGTCATTTTTGTGTAGGAAATATTAGTTTTTACTGTCTTTTCTACATATGCATGAAGTTCTCCATTACAATTTTGATTTTCTCAGAGTTTAAAAATCGAAAAGAACTCGTTAGAACATTTGTTTGAAGGTGGTGAACAATGTTTCATGTTAATACGAAGGAAGGTCTCGAGAAGGAACTAGGCATCATCAGAAATGATCTTCAACGGAATAGTTACTCCAAAGTGATCGTGTCATCACAACCAGTACTTGCACTTCCCTATATCAAAGGATTGTCGGAAAGGATAAGAATAATTGGGTCCAAGTACAACATCAGAACCTGCTTCAGGGAACACTATCCGTAGCAGCCTCACGAAAACCAGGCCACAAAACGCGGACTGCGATTCCAAGAATTGCATTTACCGGATACCCTGTGAGTGCGGAAAATCCTATATCGGCGAAACTGAGGGGTCAGTGAAAGTCCGCATTGCAGAGCACAAGAAACACACACAGTGAGGAGAAACCAGCAAATCGGGAATAGCAGAGCATGTTTGGTTTCATCAAGCGGTTCCAGGCTGAGATCATCCACAAGGAAGAACAGTGGTTCAGCAACGCATTCAGCCAAGCTAGCGTAGATATACGCAACATATGGAAACCCATAATCATGAGGAAAACGGCCAACTCTCGCTAAACCGGTGAAGCGTAGAGAGGGAAGAGAGGATAGGTGAAAGCGCTTGAATGACTTATAGTCATCTCTCGGAGGAATGAGTCCAGTCATCACCCGAAGACGATTGTGGATACTAACAATTGAAACGTTGTTCTCGTATCATATTTTATTGCAATTTCAGTTTAGGATTTTTTTGCTTGATATAGTTGTTATTTTTAGCTATTTTCTTTAATTTTATTGATTCTTTGAGGGATTTCAATCATTTTATATCATATAAGACAATGGAAGTCAGAAGTAATGAAATTCGCTAGTACATGCTTGGTTGATGGCCTTATGAGCACAGGTGATGAGGAGCTGTACAAGTGGAAGAAGAAGAACAAATTTTGAATCACTATAAATGTTTTTTCGCTCGGAGGTGAAATGTTTTTTAGTTTATCGTCCAAAATATGTTATTAACTTTGCATATTGGCCTACTGCGCCGAAGGGAAGCAAATACCATAAAAAAGAGAAGAAGAAGAAGAACTTTGCATATGTACGAATGAAGTTAAGGTCCAGGGTATTCAATTTCACGATTGAACTAACAGAAACTGCTGACGTATTCCGTCTGGGAGAGCCAAATTTCCCACAAATTGCCAATGCAAAATTGTTCGAAAGTCACAATAACGAAGAGAACAATAGTTGAATTTAAAGTTTCTCAGACCAATATCGAACGCGAGTAGTGTATATAATGACTCGTTCACGAATAATTTTCAGGAAAGAAAGTAAATTATTAGACACGAAAAATAAACGATCGTAAAATGAACGCTCCCATAATTACCAACAGAGGACATAAAACGCAAGTTTATTTCAAAATGAACCTTTCGTAAAATGCATGGAGAACGATAAAAATATATTAGAGAATGATGAAGGGATATACGAGTAGGTTTCTAAAGTTCATTAGTTGTTTTTCAATTCCTCATTCGACATACATACACGTTTTTATCGCTGTCAATCACCTAGATTTAATTGGATCAAGTTAAAGCGATTAAATTTCGTAAACCAATACTAATCAACGTAATGACTCATAGTAGATACGATTTTATAACAATTTTCACTTCAATTAATTTGTTTCGAATCGATTTGATTAATACCTAGTGAATCAAAGAATGTATGAAGACAGCGATGATCAAAATTGAAGCAGACCTACACCTCCAACAAAACGAGCAGATTCGAATCCCATTGATAATCAGTTTTATGCTACAGCAGTAATTGTAGGATTTCAAATGACACTTTTCAAATCGGTCACTGCACTGATGGTGTTTTTGATCCATCTAATAATATTTCAATGACAGTACACAAGCACTACAGGCGCACTGAGAGCGGTGCCTGTGTCTGTGCCAAGTCACTTGAATACTTCCCGTGAAAGTATCTATAGAAGCGAGACAAATCCCCAACATTTCTTCGATGTTCCAGACTATCAAGGCTGCAGGTGGTGTTCGCGTCTCCAATCAGGCAGATGGCTCTTTTCTGGTTGGAATCCTCCTCAGGAGGATGTACAATGGGTCACATGTGGCCTAAATGCTGTGGGCTTACACTCACCCTCCCTACTCTACAGATACAGACAGAGAACACCAACAAACTTATCGAAGCACAAAGCGGAATAGTCTTACCTGGTTTGGAAACATTTATTTTTTGGATAAAACTGATGTTTGGGTTTTTGTGGCATTGAATTGAACCTGGTTACTTCCACCCAAATTCTAACCTACTTATAGATCCTCATTAAGATATGCAACCACTTGCTGCCGATGAAGATTTGCATCCGCAAACGGTGTCCTGGAATCCAAATGTATTGACGAGGCAAGCGTGCTGTGGTCAGCAAAGCAATATATTGGATTCTTGGTTTTTTCCAATAAGTCATTGATATACAATAAAAAGAGGAATGGAGACAATATGGATCCCTGGGGAACACCAGCGTTGATGGTAAAATTATTGGAGAGTGTGCCTATTGCTTGAAAGTATACTTCATAAGCACACTTAAATAAGTATAAGTAGTAAGTGTAAACGTGGTAGGGTTTTGTAAACTATTCAGTGGACATATAAAGTATCAGATTGAATCAGATAAAGAATATTGTCTTGCATCCAGCCGAATAATTTTTTATTGTACAATAAGCAATGTGTCAATATGTACATTGCTTATTGCCAAGTACACATTGCTTATTGCTTATACAGGGTGGGACATCGAAAACTTGACAAGGAGGTTTTGGGTACTAATCTTGCAAAAGTATCAGATTGAATCAGATAAAGAATATTGTCTTGCCTCCAGCCAAATAATTTTTTATTGTACAATTAGCAATGTGTCAATATGTACATTGCTTATTGCCAAGTACACATTGCTTATTGCTTATACAGGGTGGGCCATCGAAAACTTGACAAGGAGGTTTTGGGTACTAATCTTGCAAATCCTAAAAAACGCTCAGACAGGTCGATTTTTATTGGGAGGGGGACATTTTTTTTACCCATGTACTTCAACCCCGGAGCAGAGGGGTNGACAAGGAGGTTTTGGGTACTAATCTTGCAAAAGTATCA